AATTAAAACAACTCTCAGGTACCACCTCACACCTATCAGAGTGGTTACTCTGACAAAAAAGGAAACTATTAGATATTGGAGGGGATATGGGAAAACTGGGACACTAATGCGTTGTTGGTGGAGTTGTGAACTGATCAACCCTTCTGGAGAGCAATTTGGAATTATGCCTAAAAGTCTATAAAACTGTGCATACCCTTAGATCCTGCAACACCACCTTTAGGTCTGTATCCCAAAGACATCCAAAAAAAGGGGAAAAGACCTATTTGTTCAAAAATATTTATAGCAACTCTTTTTTTGTGGTGACTAAGAATTTAAAATCAAAGAGATGCCCATCAATTGAGGAATGGCTGAACAAGCTGTGGTATGTGATTGTAATGGAATATTATTGTGCTGTAAGAAACAGCAAGTAGCATGATTTCACAAAAACTTGGAAGGATTCACATGAACTAACGCATATAGTGAAGTGAACAAAACCAGGAGTGCGTTGTAGACAGTAACAGCAATATTGTGTGATGAAGAACTGCGAATGAATTAATTCTCAGCAATACAATGATCCAAGACAATCCCAAAGGACTAATGATGAAGCATCCTATCCACTTCCAGAAAAAGAGCTGATCTTGATTGAGTACAGACTGAAGCATGGTATTTTTTCACTTTCTCTCATTTTTTTCTTTTATTTGAGTCTTCTTATACAAAATGATTAATATGGAAATGTTTAACATAATTGCACATGTATAACCTATATATCATTGCTTACCATCTCAGGGAGGGGCAAGGAGAGGGAGGGAGGGATAAAATTTGAAACTCAAAACTTTAAGTAAAAATTTTAAAAAAAAAATTTTAAAAACAAGTAAAATGATCTCCCTGGGATTTGTCAGAGGTTGTGGTGTTCCAAGATTCTTATACACACACACACACACACACACACATACCCCATTACTAAGAGAAGAATGTAAAGGTTAACAATTTTAGATGGGTCCTTTTGTCAGAAGGTAGACTTGAATTCAAATCTTTTGACTCCAAATCCATCAAACCATAGTACCTCAGAAAAATATCCAAATACACATAGGAAGACATCATGCTATGAATCACTTGAATGAACAGTGGATGGAAGGAATGTAGCCCTAGAAGCATTGTTTCAACTTGCACTTGTAGGTTAGGGCCTTCGGAGAGCAGCTTCCCCAAATTCAGAGTACTCTGAAGGTCTTTTTTTTTTTTTTAAGGTCTGTCTTTCTAAACCAATAGCTCATGAGCCTCCCCCCTCCCCATATGTAACACAAAGAAGATTCACTTAGCTCAAAGCAGAAGCATTCACTGAAATGGCATAATAAGAAAAGTTGTAACCAAATATCTATAATCCTATAATCCTGGGGTACAGAATGAGCAAATACAGAAATTAGGCATGATGGAATCTATACTTCTGATGTTTCAGGGCCCCTTGTGATGTGCTTCACTGGGATTACTGGGTCTGCTTTTTTCTGGGCATATGCCTGTAGACTCCAATGCATCTAGCTTCTGGCTTTAACCCTTGGCTAGGCCACTGGTGTGCTCTTTCAGAAAGGAATGGCGCCCTTATCCTACGGCCGAGGGAAGCTTCCCCAGTTCTGTCTCCTTAGAGCATCGCTGCTGAAGCCTGGCATCTCCTGAGCAGCAGTGTCCCTATTCTAGATGCAAAGCTCTTGATTTTTCTACTCTTCTTTCCCGTTAAAAAAATCCCAGTCTCCAATTTATTCACGTAAAACAAATGGGTTTAGAAAAAGCATTGAGGTAATCTTCTAGGGGTATGGAAGGGTGACAAAAATATGTAATGAGAAATTATGGTACAGTGGAAAGAAAACTGGATTTGGAGTCAGGATCTGGGTTCACATTTCAGCTCTGCTTTGCTCTGCATGACCTTGAAAAAGTCATTTCAACTCTCTAAGCCTCAGTTTTCTCATCTGTAAAATGAGAGGGTTGGTTAGAAGATCCCTAGGGTCATTTTTAACGAAGGAACTAGATTATCCATACTATCACACCCGTCTCTGAATCTATAACTCTGTGATCCTAAACAGTCATCATATGCCATGGAAAAACAATATATCAGTATGGAGGAAAGCAAATTTAGATTTATACTTGACATAAACTCCAGGTAGATCAATGAGAGACAAAAAATAACAAAATTAGTATTCTTATCTCATAACTCAATTAACAGGGCTGTGGGGTGAAAGGTACTTTCATATAATATTAATGGCAATGCAGATTCAGGCCATCCATGGCCAGTCTTCACATAGTCAACCAAATCTGTAAAACTAGTCATACCTTGTGATCCAGTAATTCTACTAGTGAAAATATATTCCAAAGAATATGTTAATGGATCTGATTTCATTCACCGCCTCCAAAAGTGAAAAATGGCGACCCATCCTGAACTTTCACTTCCCAGGACGTCCTCGTCCAGGTCGTCCTGTATGTTTGCTATGAAGGATCTACCCAACATGCTGGAGGCACTCTCATAGGTCTCCTAATGTTTGGGGGATAGCAGTATAACATTCGGTCTGTAAATCTGAGTTTTGTTACATGACAGGTCCTCCTGGATTATATTTTTATGCCACTTCTTGTGTGGGTCATGACTGGAAATATGCTGCATCCTGTGTACACTTATCATGCATCTCTCCAGCATCCTTTGGGTCACCTGTACACTTACCAAAGGTGTTTACCACTGTCATGATGTTCTGTGCAGAGTCCTAAGAAAGATACCCTTTAGATAGTGAGGTCCTCCAAATGCTCCTGTTTGTGGATGATATTCTGCCGGTTTCATTAAGCACAGAATATTAAGGGTTCCCAGGGAGATGTATGACTACTCAAAAAAATTGGCCCAACTGTCCAACAGGAACAAACAAATCTTGACTTTGAGACTTCAGCATGCAGTGGTGTGGGCTACCCGTTTAGTACAACAGTATGAGAGTGTGTGTGTATGGACTTACACTCACGCATATGATGGGCATTGCATAAGGACAGTGAGCTGGACCCAGAATTGAATAGTTGAAAGAGAAGGAACCAGAGCACATCTGGGGAACTGCGTAATACATTCGATGATCCCAAGTTACTTTCTGACAAAAAAAAAAAACCCCACATCTTTTTAACCTTTATATTCTTCTATATCTATATTCTTTGATATTCATGCCTGCTTGCCTTTCTATGTAAATTTTACTGTCACTTTATCTAGTTGAATTTTATTTTTTTATTTTAATTTTTATTTTAATTTTAATTGAATTTTTTGTAGTATAGTAAGACAAACCACGAATTAACTGAGTTTGACAGAATATGTAGTATATCTCCCACATCTGTGAATAGGGGAAGAAGGTGAATTTTCTCCTTTCTTCTATGAGCCAAGCTTAATCATTGAACTCAGTTTCATTTTTTAAATTTTCTATTTTTTTTTTTTTAGGCAATTGGAGTTAAGTGACTTGCCTAGGGTCACACAGCTAATAAGTGCCAAGTGTTTGATCTGAGGCTGTGTTTGATCTGAGGTCGTATTTGAACTCAGGTCCTCCTGACTCCAGGGCCGGTGCTCTATTCACTGCACCACCTAGCTGCCCCTTCTATTGTTTCTGTAGTCGTTATGTATGTTGTTTTCTTGGTTTTACTTCACTCTGTCAGTCTTCTCATGCTTATCTGTGTTTCTTGTGATACAATAACATTCCATTAGAGAATCATGAAAAGGCAGGTAGAAAGATGTCCAGGTGGGCTGGACAGGTGAGGCCAATTGCTGAGAGGCTGCTTGATGGATGGCTAGATAGGATAAGAAGAAACATGGTGTGGGGCCAAATAGATACAATGAGTTAGGTAAATTTGCACTTGCTCACTAAGGACAGCTCAGCCCTAGGATGGATTTCCAAAACTCAGTGTATTAACTCACCTGTGGCACCCCTCAGTTAAGCTAGGGTTGAGATGTCTTGATTGATAAGATGAGTCATTACAAATTCATTTAGTCCACTATATATACCATCCCTGTATGTCTTGAATATCGGGCCCTTTTCAGATATATATGATACAAAAAATTTCTCCTAATCGACAGCTTTCATTCCCGTTCTAGTTGCGTGGTTTTGTTCATGCAAAAGCTTTTCAGTTTATGTAATTGAAATGGTCTGGCTTTTTTTTTTTCTTTTTTGTTATTATTTCTGTCCCTTATATAGTTAAGATTTTTCCTTAAATCACAATTGAAAGCTTCCTGAGCTGATTCTCTTCTGTTTTTCTTAATGGTGTGACCTTTAATATTCAAGTTGTGTATGCATTTTGAACTTATTCTGGTGTATTGTATAATGTATTTTTCAAAATCTAACTTCTGCCAAACTGCTTTCCAGTTTTCCTAGAAGTTCTTATCAAATAGAGAACTCTTCCCCCAAGTAATTTATGTTTTCAGGTTTATCAATCACAGTATTATCGAGTTCAATTATTTCTTTTTTCCCCCTTATCTAGTCTGTTCTACTGATGCTGCTTTTCTCTTTTTTAACCAGCACCAATCGGTAATGAGCACTTTATAGTATAATTTAAGGTCTAGAAATGTTGTTATCCCTCAATTCTTACTTTTTTTTTTCATTGTTTCCCATGAAATTCTAGACCTTTTGTGCCTCCAAATGAGTTTCATTATTATTTTGTCTAGCTCTAGAAAGCATTCTCTTGTTAATTTGATTGGGATAGAATTAAATCAGTCAATTAACTTTAGTATAACGATTTTTTTTTTATTGAAGTAGCTCAATCACAAACATTTAATATCCCTCTAATTGTCTGTGGTTTTTGTCTCCTGTTTACATGTGTTTGCACCATTAATATGGTTTTTTCTTTACATGTATTTATGTTTTTAATTTCTTTTGTTTTCTAAAACTGTGACAGATAACAGTAGGGAAATAAGCATTCTTTGTTTACTCCTGTATTTGTTAGAAAAGCTTCTAGTGTTTTCCTATTGCAAATTAATTTCCTTTTAATAATGTTATTTTTATTAAATATGGATTCATTTTCTATAGAAAGATTGTGCCATATTCTTCAAAAATGGAACCCTAAAACTTGGTGGGGAAAAAGAATATGTACCCCGGCCCAAAAAATGGCCCATTGCCAACATCCTGGCACCAGGAGCTCAGTACATTCCTGATTCTTTCATTACTGGTGGTCCTTTCGTTGAGGAAGATGGAGAGCTCAACTGTCCAGAGGTGAGAAAGGTTGAATATATAATATCTGCTCAGTTTAAGGTGAGCAGAGGGTGACCTGAATTCAGATGTCACCTCAGACATTTACAAGTTAACTTCTGTGTGTATCAGTCATCTCCCTAAATATCTACTTACTCGTATCTGGATCAGAATCACAGATCCATGCTCTATCACCAGAGCTTAAGATGTTTTTTAATGAAAGAGTTGGTAAGTAGAAAGGACAAATATCTAAGTGCTTGAGCATAGAACACAGACATGTCTCTTATCATCAGTCTGGTGAAAAATCCATGCTGTAATCACATGCTATATTTTTATATGGGATCATTTGTGCTGTGGAGAACCCTGGATAGGGATGTTATTTCATGTTTGGCATATGATATTGGCAGTTGTAGACTCAGGCCCCAAATTTGTCATTTTTAGGACAAAGACTTCAGAAACCAAGCAGAAACTTTAAAGAAAAGAATCGTCTGGGACTTTGAAAGTCGCTGCTACCTTGACCCTCCAGCAGTTGCCAAGTAATGTATCTGGTTAAGAGATTGAGTTGTAGGGGAAGTAAATCTCTGACTATGCTAACTTGATTTAGCTCTCAGGGGATCATTAAGTGACTTTGAGTTTTGTTGTGTTTTTTTCTTCCTGTCTCACAAAGTTCCTGGCCTTTTAGGGCAAGGCTAAATTGAGAGGGAAGTGTTCAGTCTCAAAGCTCTGGGAAATGTTTGTTGTGTCTCAATGGATGTCTCTAACTTTTGCAAGACCAAATATCATTGTTTTTGGGTATCATCTTTGTTTCATCATCATTAGATGTATTAGATGTAGACTATTAGGATATTCTTTTGGAACTCAGTTTATTGCTATTTTCTTTTTCTTAATTTAAATTTTTTAATTATTTAAACACAGATATACACACAAAGAGCATATATATATAGCAGAATGCAAAAAAAAGGATTTTCTATGAAACCATAAATATCTATTCCATATCACATTTTTAAAGTATATAACAAATTATACATGTTACATTCAAAACTGTTCTTTCTGTTCTTTTTTGTTCATTTAAAATTTTTTTCCAATGGCCCTATTTTTGGTATTGCTTTTGCAAACCCCTTCTTTCCCACCACCAATTATTGAGAAAAAAAAAGAATAAAAATGGTGTAACAATAAGCAAAGTCAAGCAAGATGAACCCATGCAGTGGCCACGGCCAAAAACGTATGTACATTTTTTTGGTACAAGGTATGGAAAGAGATATATATTTTTGGGCTGCTAGGTGGTGCAGTGGACGGAGCCCTGGGCCTGAAGTCAGTTGCAGCCCCAGACACTTACAAGCTGTATGAAAACGTTAGGCAGATCACTTAACTTCTGTTTGCCTCAGTTTCCTCAACTATAAAAGGAGCATGATAATAGTATCCACCTCCCAGAATTGTTGTGAGGATCAAATGAAGTAATATTTTGTAAAGTGCTTGGCACAGTTCCTGGCACATAATTGCTACTATGTAAATACTAGCTATCATTCATTCATTCATTTCCTTGTATCCATCACCTTGCTGTAGGTAACATAAAGAAAAAAAATTTGAAAGAAAGGCATGGTTGGAGCTCAAATCAACCTCATGCTAAGGGACAGAAAAAAGACTTGCTGATGTGATGCTAAATTTTAGTGGGTAACATTTAAAAGACCATGGAGAATAGGAGAAGTATCAGAAGGTTGGAGAAGGGCAAATAGTGTTTCAAATTTCAAAAAAGGGACGAGTACAGAGACTGCCTTTGAGCTTGACTTCAGCTTCTGGCAAAATTCCAGAATATGTATTTTTGGGCTGCCTTTTTTTTTTTTTTTATTAAAAATGTGTTTTATTGGTTAAAAAAAAGAGACAGCATTGGTTATGTACTGAAGAGAGTTCTTAAACTAGAACTTCAAAGTTTTTTTCTTTATGATGTTGTTGTCCTTGAGTAAATTGTTTCCCAGGTCTACTCACTTTGCTCTTCATCAATTCGCGTTACTCAGGATTCTCTGAAGTTGTCTTTTCTCATTTCTTATAGAGCAACAATATTCCTTTACCTATGTATTTCACAATTTGTTGAGCCATTCTCTACTTCTCTATGAGTCAACCTAGGGCACTCCCTTAAGATTCTAAATCTTTTCTCTTTCTTTCCCTTTCTCTTTTCTTTCCTTTTCTATTCTTTTTTCATTTCACTCTTCCCCCATCAGAATCATGAAGTTTGTGTGGTTTACAACTATTCCCTCCCAAGCATTATCCTCCTTCCTCTCAACTCTCTCTTCTTCCCTATTCCTGTTTTTCCTGTTGAGTTGGAAGTATTTCTGTGCCAAACTCTTTGAGTATGTGTGTTTTCAGACTTCCTTTATCTGTCTTAGATAACACTTGAAGTTCATCTCGAGACTACGTCTCCCTCACCCCTTCTTCCACGTGTGTTGATCTTCTCATATACGTTATCTATGAGAAATAGTTAGTTCCTTAACTTTCTTCCTTCTTCCTTCCTCCTCCAAGGCCTCTTTTTAAAAAATATAACCCCCTCAATACCCTATGAAGACATTAAGGTTCTGATGGTATATTTGTTTCTCCCCATAATGGAATGTTAACTCTACATCATCATACTTCCCCTTCCAATTGCTTGAATAAATTTACCCTTCTAGATTTCTCTTCACAATTGTGTTTATATTTTAGAGTTCCTCCTCAGCTGTAGCTTTTTCATCAGAAATTCTTAAAAGTCATCTATTAATTTTTCCCCTGTAGGATTATACTCAGCTTTGCTTGGCAAATTAATTTTGACTGTAAATCTATATTTTTATCTTTTAGAATATTGTATTCCAAAATGTCCTCTTTTCTATAATAGAAGTTGCTGGGTCTTGTGTAATCCTGACTTGTTTCCTTAATATTTGAACAGCTTATTTCTGGATGTTTGCAGTATTTTGTTTTTCTTTGATGTAGGACCTCTACATTATGACTTGTGACTTTGGGCACATGGATTCCCTAGACATTGCCTCACTATAGTGGTATTTTAAATTTGTGTTCAATCTGTCTCATGGACACTATATACAATGATGGGAGAGCACACCTCAGGTTTATGGGTAGAATATTATGTTATAATTATTCTTTTTTTTGTCTTCTGCATAGTAAATATTTTGATCGAATTAATGGAGTCAGATGGTTGATTTGTTAAATGGGAAATACATTGGTGGGGACACAGGAGCTACAGTGTAGAACAATAGCCACCCACCAGAGTTACCCCTAGAATCCTGAGTTAGTTGTAGCAATGCCCTTCTCCTAAGCAACACCCCCAGCCTCATCTGCCAGTATGCAGAGAGCCAACTCAGAAAGAGAGCCTAGAGAGGAATGAATCGCTTACTACAAAGGTTTTCCTTTGACCTCAATTTTATTAAAACTGGCTTTACATAGCTGTCTGTTTTTTGGCTTATAGTTTTCAGAAACGAATTGCAGATTGCCGTTTCTGGCCGGTGGAGATAACAAGAGTTCCTGTAGCTCCTGTGTCCAAAGGGAAATCTACAAAAGTTGATAAGGTGTGTGGTCAAGTTAATAGGCTTATTTAAGAAATGCTGTTATATAAGACATGCCATAATGAGTTCATTATTCATTTAGTTCATTATTCTATCTCTAATCCCGATACCAAAAGATATTTTGAGAAAGGATGTATTTGTCCTTTCTGTTGTCACTTTCAAAAGAATAGGAATTAACTATTTTACCCTTAATAGCTTAAATATATTTATCATCCATATATTTGTCTTCCTTTTGAGTCTATTAATATTTTTTGTCTGCACTCTTATTGGAGTAACATACTTCATAAGTTTGCTATTATTACATAAAATATGACTCTTATTTTCTTAAATTTGCCTCCTTCAAATGCCAGTGAGTTTTTTCTAGTTCTGGTGTTCCAGGATTTGATAAATAAGTTTTGTTCACTTAATCCATAATGTTTGTGGTTTCATAGACCTCAATTATATCCCCTCTCAACAGTTCATCTTTCAAGAGTAGAAAATCCTAATTTTAAAAACCTGTTTTCAAATGACAGGTGCCTACCCATTTCCTTGATCATCCCAAGTCACATGAGAATTAGAAATTCATTTTCTGTCTATTAAAGCATTTTAAGCTTTGACAGCAAAGACAGATTGGGAAAGAAACCAGAGTTTTACTAATGCATTTCAGTACTACTTGGCTTCTTCCTTCATAGCTTTCTCCTCCAGATTTCAACACATCATTCAGCTAGCGAAATCCAATGTGCTTAAGGCACCTAATTAGAAATGTAGAACTTCTGAGTGAAATGTTTTCATTTTTCTCTAATGAAACCTTGGAGACCTTACTGTCAGATACAGGTTTTATTCTCTTTCCTGTCATTATGGAGCTGTGGGATTTAGAACTGAGAGGTCCCTTAGAAATCATCTCATCTAAACCTCACTTCAGAACTGAGGAGGCTGAGGCCCAGACACCTTAAATAACTTGCTCAGTGCCACACAGCTTGTAAGCAGTAAGGCTCTAATGGGAAACAAGACATATCCTCTGGTTCTCAGGCCACTGCAGGAAGCTGGCCCTCTCTTTAGAAAAGCTCATTTGATTGTTTCTTCCACTGTGCCTCATCCAAATACATTATTTCCTGTGTTCTTCTAAAAAACATTCAATAACCTCCCCTCGTCTGTACGTTTCTTGCTACCTCATGCTCCTGACCTCCCATCACCTATTCATTCATTCTCTGTACTGATCAGTACAATAGCAGAATACCTTTTTCCCATCCACAAAGAAGTGTCTCAAAGTGACATTTCCTATATGATTGTGCCCAATCTTCCTTATTTCAAATTCTAAAAATGGACCCTTTTGTGTTACCATCCTTAGAAACTGCTTATTTGTTTTTCTCTATTAAAATAGTATAAAATTAGATGGAAAACACCTCTGTTGTTTTGGAATGAAAAGCTATTTTTAAAAGAAATAAAAGTGCTGCATAATTTCCCAACATAATACACTTCCAGCAGCAACAGCCTTAAAAGCCATAGAAATTGGAGGAAAGTTAGCCCAAATTAGCCTGATCTAACAGATATTGTTTGTAGGAAAAGAATCTCTTCTTCAGTATAATAGGCTCTCTGCTCTTATTGATGTGAGTGTGCTCTCTGAGGATCTCCTCCCTGTGACAGCTTCCTTGAAGCCTTCTAACACTTTGTACACCCTTCCATCGAGCCTGTGCCTGTCATCAACAGCCTAATTACAGGCTGTTATCTCTGGCTCTTGATGAATGGCCGGCCCACTGTCTTTTCCAGTAATACATGTTTCCTAACTGCCACATGTAAGTCATCACAGAAAAAATGCTGCATCCACCACTTCTTTCTCTGTTGCCCTTTGGATCACCCACATTTTTGATTCTCTGGAGATGGTGCTATTCTGTGATTCATAGCTGAATACCATCACCAGGAGAATGTTAGTGTTAAAAAGATAAATAAGCTTGGGATTGTTGAAAGAATTACATAATTTTCAAATGCAGTCCAATCTATATCTCCCCCCCCCCCATCTAGCTCTAATCTGAGTTGATTGTCCATCTGTAGAGACTATCTGTAGCTAGGTAGGGCAGTGAATAGAACGCTGGGCTTAAAGTCAGGAAGACCTGAATTCAAATCCAGCCTCAGACACTTATTAGCTGTGTGACTCTGCACAAGTCACTTAACCCTGCCTCAGTTTCCTCATCTCTAAAATGAGCTAAAGAAGGAAATGTCAAACCACTCCAGTATCTTTGCCAAGAAAACCCCAAATGGGGTTGTGAAGAGTCAGACTTGACTGAAATGACTGAATAACAACAAGAGACTGATATGTACTGACACAACTCAATGGATGACTCATTCAGTTATGTATTGTATTCTGTACAATAGGCATTCTTCATTCCACTGGGTTTTTCTTGACTGAGTGATTTGTCTGATCTCTTTTGAGAAGTTACAGATCTCATTGAGGAAGAACTATAGTATTTGGTACTTTGATGCCATCACCAAGGTTAACCATACACAGGAGCTCATCTAGAAGACTTCACCATCCATAGGAAGACCCTCTTCCATTTGGACTCTGCCTAGGGCATTGCCATGACCATGGCAAACACCTTAGACATTAATAAATTAGAACATTCAGAAGTGGGTATTGAGAACAATAAAGGGCCTAGAGGTTATGTCGTATGAAGATTGGTTGAAAGAACTGAGTTGTTTAATTTGGAGAAAAGAAGACATAAGGGTGACATACTCCTTCCCTTCAAGTATTTGAATGGCTTTCATGTAGAAGAGAGAATAATAGACTTGTTCTGTTTAGCTCCAGAAGGCAGAACCAAGCACAATGGGCCTGAGCTACAAAAAGTCAAAGTTCGGTTTGAATTAGAATTAGTTCAGTAAGAATTAGAGTTGGCCACAAATGTCCCTAAGTGGGCTAAGATGCCTTAGGAGGTAGTGAGTACCCCCCTCACTGGAGATCTTTGAACAGAGGCTCAATGACCACTTGTCAGGCATGGCTGGACAATTGGGATCCTTTCCAGCTCCAAAATTCTACGATTCTTTATGCCTTGGCTGATAATGATCATTAAAACTTGTGCAGGAAGCCTTACTCTACAATTCTCAGCTCCAGCCCCAGTTTTAGGACATTCTCCTTTAGTAATCACCATGGGTTGGTGCACCAGGTCCATTTAAGTCATTAACTTTAATTAGCTTTTACAAAAGGATATTTACTTCAAAGGTATAGCAAGAACTGAAGTTAGGATGCATTTCCCCCTCAACACCTGGGGGTTCTCCCAATACTACCCCAGTCCTTAGGAAGTGTGAGCTTAAATTTAAAGCAGTTTACACATAGCATTCACCCCCATCAAGTCCACTTCAAATATAGCAGGCCAATGAATGGATAAGTCTGCATCTCTGCGTTGGAAGGCTATGTCAGGCAGAGTACCTTAGGGTCCTGGCTTCCTCCCTACTCATGTTTGGCCTCCTGCAAATCCCAGAATGGCTTCTAGCTCCAAGATGGGGGGAGAGTTAAAGTCTTATGTCCTCTTTTCCCACGGAGGGCCTGGAGCAGTTCTTGCTGCCTCTTTTGAACATGTCCAAAAGTCAGACTCATTTTGTTTGATAGATTGATTGGTTAACCTTTTGAATGTTCCAACTCAACAGCCAATCCATAACCTCATGTTGTGGGTTAGCAGACTGGAATCAGTTAGAGTGTGTATGTATGCTCTGAATCTGGGGACAGGGCCCTGTCCTCAGTCATCATCACACCTTTCCCAAAGTAGGCTCCCCAGCCCTTCCACGTGGACTGACTGGCAGCAGGGAGAGCAGCTGCACATGTCCTGATGATGGCACTCCATTGGCTTGGCTCCCTTTACAACCTGAAGGGGGTAATCTACCAGCTGCTGGAGCAGCATCTTCCACTTCGGGATGACTCTAAGTGTTGGGAATTTTTCCAGCATTCATACTGAATATACTTGGCATCTTCTACCTGTGACTATTGGTTCTGCCCTCTGGGGCTGAACAGAAAAAGTCTAATCCTTCTCCCATATAATATCTCCTCAGATACTTGAAAGTGGCTACCAAGTAGTGGAAGGTCTGTTTGCATGACAGATGAAAGAACTATGAGCAATAGATGAGGAGAAGTTACAAAAAGGCAAATTCCTTCATGGCCTTGATAGCTTCGGAACCAAAACATATTCAAAGACATTGATTCATATGACTAATAGTTTCTCTGGATTTATTCCTCCAGGGTGATGATGATGGACAGGTGTTCTTTCATGGTGTGGCATATGTTAACATGGTCCCTTTGTTGTACCCTGGTGTAAAGAGAATTCGGGGAGCTTTCCGTGTTTATCCCTATTTAGATGGTCCAGTATATGAGAAGGTAAGAAATAACTATATGATCTTTATCTTTTGTATTATCATTTAGGAGGAAAGTGCTTTGTAAACCTTAAAATGCTAAAGAAATATGAGTTATCATTATATGAAAATCCTCACATTGTATATGAGAATGCGCATTTTAGCAAAGGACTTTTGGAAGTAGTTTTTATAGTTGGGACATTATTGTGCAGTGACATCATCATTAAAAAATCCAAGGAAGACCTTAGCTATACTGGAAATGATTCTCTGTTAAGAATTTGCAGAAAGACGTAAGTAAAAATTGCACAAGATGAGAGGGCAAGGATGAACACCTTGATATGTTGAAGTTGAGGTCATGAGACGTTAAAAATTCAGGAATGCACATATATATATATATATATATATATATGTCACTTTATCACAGAAAATCATTTGATACAGTACAATTCAGTAAGCATTTATTAAATGGTTGGCATATTCCAGTTGCCATGCAAGGCTGTGGGGATACAACCAAAAGACTCAACTAGCCTCTGCCCTTGAGGAGCTTTCATTCTATTGAGGGGAAACCGTGTGTGTACAGCATACAGACAAGCACTTTTCAGCCTGGAGAAGTAGGGCTATTATGAAAATCTTGATCTGTTTGTAAAACCAATTTATCTTACATCTAAAATATCTTTATTTGGTTAGTGCTGGATTGGTCAGATGAATGGACTGCAGGGGTTTGCCTCAAGACAATTAGGAGGATGTGAAGCAGATTAAAGCCTGGTTACGTTACCCTACTTAGACAAGTCAAACACGTAAATGTTATAAGCACTGCATCAGTAGAATATATTATTTTGATTCTATTTTCTATTGGTTTTTATTTAACAACAGAATAGAGGTTCCAGAAAGGATAATAGAAGGTTAGCCAAAAGTGACCCAAAGATCCTTGAGGGCTGGGGCTGACAGGGATGTGTATGGAGGAACAGGGAATAGTGTCCTGCTTATAGAAGATGCTTAATAAATGTGGAGAGAGAGGGCTGGAAGGGATAAGCAAAAGAGGATCAGCCTTTAGTGATAGCAGATGTGCATAATAAAGGGAGGAATGGGCCTCAGTTTCTTCAGCTGGACTTTTTTGTTTGTTTGGTCCTAACTTTCTTTGCATGTGACCTGTGGCAGAGAGTGCACCATCTGTGCTTGGGGAGATCTTTACTTGTCTCTATTTGCTATTCTGTTTGATTAAATGCCTTTTATTTTTTAAGTCATGTGATCGGACTGGCTGGTAAAAGTAAATGCAGCCCAGGCTATGGTTTTGAGTGGATACTGACCCACAGAGTGCCTTGAACCTGAAATACTTTTTCTGGAGACCCAAGATGGCTGCATTTGGAGTCAGAGGAAATGAGTTCAAGTTTTTGCTCTCTGCTCTGCCAGCGTAACCATGGGCACATCACTTAACAGTACTGGGAAGCAGGTTCCTCATTTGTAAAATGAGGGGCCTTCGAGGTTCCTTCCCACTATAATCCGTGATCCTGTGGTTCTGGGAACTAGCCAAACAACATGTGCAGTAACTTTAGTGACGCAAATAAAAACAACACAAAAAGGCTACCGAGCTCAGAATAAATGTGAAGACCGAGATTGATTCTTGGGTTCAGATGTCTATAGATGCTGAAATGTGTCAGACAAGGCCAGTTATAATCCTGTATTGGTTTTGCTTGACTGTTTTTTCTCTGTGTTACAAAGAAGAACGAAATATAAGGATATGATTGCTATATAAAAAACCCAAAAACATTTTTAAAGAGTAAGACAGCTATTGTTCAAGACTAGCTGAGATCCTTATGGAAACAAGGGAACAGTTTAGTAATCAAGGTCATAGTTAGCTTTTTGATTCCCTAATATTGTGATTAACTAAAGGGCTGAACTATGTCAAAAAATAACATACGAGTTTGTCTCTAGTTTGTTTCATTTTCCCTCTGATTCATTCTTTTTTTCAGACAAAGTGTCTGTTCAGCCTTTTCCATGATGTTGGTCACCAGAACAAATTGGGAAATGTTCCAGGGATCAATTCCCCTCTGGCTAAACCGATCCTCACCAAGATTGTGAAGGAGGAAAAGCCACCCAGAGAGAAAGACACTGTAAGGAAGGTGTGGAGCTTAGAACGTATGCTTCGTGGAAGGCCGAGTGCCTGGGAGATGGTATTTGACACTAGGATGACTCCTCATGTGCAGAGTTGCAAGTATTCATTATGCTTTCTTGAACTGATAGGATCACCTGTGAGGTTGTGGAGAGGAGGCTGGCCTTGGGGGTCAGGAGAACCTGGGTTCAAGTCTGGCCTCCGATGCAGTCTAGCTGTGCAGACAAACGGTAGACCACCCCTTGAAGGCTCGAGGGACTCTTACAGTGTAAATTATAGACAGGTCACTGCTGATCTGTATATGCATCTGTGGAGGGAGTTTTCCCCTTTGGGATTCCCCCATACCTATGAAATCACAGGTCTAGACCCACAACAAATTCATCACCACAGCAGCAGCAACTAGAGCAACGAGAAAGTTACAGTTAGTAGAACGGTCTGTATATTGAACTTCCTAATTCACGGGCACGTGGAATTTTGTCTGTTGAGTTTGGTGCACTTTCTTTCTGTTTTTACAGTTATCCAGTATAAAATCCCAGAGCTCAGACAACCCCCTGGAAGGGGAAGTTCCTCTGTACCAGAATGCAGAAGGACAGGTAATGGTGACTCAAAGACGAGGCCAGACATACTCACAAGTCCCAAGAGCCTTATCGCCAAGCATGGGTCCCATCAGTGAGGGACAGACAAGTGCTCACAGCTTGCCTCACCTTCTGAGTTTTGCATAAAAACGTGTAAGGAAAGAGCTATCCAAACAGCCCAAGAGTCCACAGGGGCCCGTGGAAAGAAAGAGGGTCTCTTGAAGGCAGGATGCTAGATGTACCTCCAGGCCCAGCCTGTAAGTGTAAGCCACTGCTATATAGAAATCAATTTCTGAGGAAGGATCATTACGCCTAAACAGAATTTTCTTCAGACATGTCTTTCCGTTAATTTCTTACATTTTAGTTTCATTTTCACCTGAAATATATTTTGTACTTTGCATCATGAAATCCTAGGTGTTTTTTTAATTTAATATAACATGGAAGAAACTATTTTTCTTAAATCAGAAAAATGTGTAATCTTTCATGTCTTCCCAACAAAACAGAAAATGTAGAAATCAAATCAAATTAGAAGATATGTATAGCATATCTACTATATTCAGGGTGCTGTTGCAGATACAGAGAAATGTATTACATGGTTCTTCCCCTCAGCAACTTCACAGTAAGGGAAATAAAGAATAATATTTGGTATTCCAAGACAGATATTATTGATTGCCGAATGAGCGGCAGTGATAATAAGTGCCATGATTTCAGAGAAAAAAATAGCTTCCTGTGGACTAGAGTGTTTGGAGAGTTTCATGAAGGTGGAAGGACTTAATCTGAACCTTGTGGATTAAGACAGAAAGAAAAGAGGGAAAGGGAGCCCTGGATCTGGAGTCAAGGTCCCTGGGTGGGGAACGGAGCCCATGGCTCTACCACCGACTTACCTGTGTGACATTAGGCAAATGATCACCTCTGTAGGCTTCATTTTCCTGTGAGTGAGTAGAGGGATTGAGCTAGATGACCTTTGAGGTCCTTTCCAGCTCCGCAGCTATTGTCCCTTTATAGAGAGGCTGAGGACCATTTATTCTACCTCCCCCTTTTGTTTCTCTCCAGCTACGTGGTGCTGAGCACGAGTAGGTGCTTAATATACCTGTTAACTTAAGAAATCCTGAAACTTGTACTTAAGCTCTTCACTACTGCCAAAAATTTTGTTACTAGAATGATTTAGAGAAAAGCAAAAAATGTCTTTACAGCAATACGTGGAAGCCGGGACATACCTCCTTCTGGAGATTGAGCTGGAGAAAGCCTTAGTACCAAAGCGATTGCCAGAAGAGCTTGCATCCCGGTATGTAAAAAGATTGACTTTATCTGTATTGTGAAAATAGTATAGTGTTATTTACAGAAAACGGCTTTGACACCGGGGCCTCTGAATCTTATGTGCTGAGCAGTGAAATGAGAGATGGCAATGTTGAATCCTCCTCTTGACTATGCTTCTGTCTCTTTCCTATGTAATGAAAAACAATGCTCAATCTACCAGATGATCTCTGTGTAGGTATGTCAGTCAGTAAATATTTACTACGTGCCAGGCCCTGTGCTAAGCTCTGGGAATGCAAAGAAAGCCAAAAGACAGTCCTTGTTCTCAGGGAGCTTGTAGTCTAATGGAGGAGACAACTATATATAGACAAATTATAGACAGGATAAATTGGAGATAATTAGCACTAACATTCAGGGAGATTGGGAAAGGCTTCTTGTAGAAGGTAGATTGTTAATGGAGACTTGAAGGAAGCCAGGGAAGCCAGGAGGTGGAGATGAGGATGGGGAATTCCAGGGGTGGTAGACATCCAATGAATATTGCCCAGTCAGGAGATGGAGTGTCTTGTATGAGGAACCCCAAAGAGGCCAGTGTCATTGGATCCCAGAGTCTATGGGGGAAGTGTAAGGGGAAAGAAAGCTGGAAAAGTGTAGGGGGGAGAGTACCAGGTTATAAAGGGCTTTGAATGCCAAGCAGAAGATTTTTTTATTTGATTCTAGAGGTGATATGGAACCACTGGAGTTTCCTGAGCTGGGGAGGGGTTGACATGATCAGACCTGAGCTTTAGGAAGATCAATTGAATAGCTGAGTGGAGGCTGAACTAGAGTGGGAGGAGGCATGATGTGAAAGACAGACCAATCAGCAGGTTATTGCAATAATCCAGGCACAAGGTGATGAGGGCCTGCATGAGAGTGGTAAGATGGCTAAATGGAAAATCCTAATTCAGATCTTAATGTTATCAATGAGTATACGTCTAGATGGACGTAGATAATGAGTATATGTAGAGAATAAAATATATTTTATTATCTTAAGACAGTTGAGTTGGCAGCACGGTAAGCAACAGTATCCATAGTGTAAGTGTAGACTCACAGATTACATTAAGATGAATTAGGATTTTCCAATTAAGGATCAATCACTAGCCCTTCTTTTTTTTTAAATAATATTTTATTTTTTTCCAATTACATGAAAAGATAGTTTTCAGTATTCACTTTTATAAGATTTTTTGTTCCAAACTTTTTTCTCCCTCTCTCTCCTCCCCCTCCCCAAGAAGGCAAGCAATCTGATATAGATTATACATGTACAATCATATTAAACATATTTCCACATTAGTCATGTTGTGAAAGAAGAATGAGAACAAAAGGGGAAAAACAAGAGAAAGAAAAAACAACAACAACAACAACAAAAGCTGAAAATAGTATGCTTCGATCTGCATTCAGACTCCATAGTTTTTTCTCTGGATGAATCACTAGCCCTTCTTAAGCCTACTTGCCTCCCAGACAAGGTCTGTGGCTATAATTTGAGAAGTATAAAGCTAATTGTGCAGGTCATAGTCTGAACTCTAAAACTTTCTCTAACTTTTTATTTGTTATTTTAATTTCCCCTAGACCTTATTATTTTAAACTGTTACAAGACTTGTGTTCTTAGTACTTTCTAAAAATCAGCAATTGTTCCAGAAGAGTGAGGATGATAAAAATAGCCTTAAAGTTCCCTTGCAAATAACCATTTGTCCCCTTTGTGTCTTGTGAGTAATAAAAATTTGCTTCTTTTATATTTTCTGTACTACTTAGAGTGGATAACAAAGTGGTAAATTGTGTATGAACATTTTTTCAACTTAATTTATTTGACCTTGATGGATGCTTTTATCTTTACTATTTGATTAATATTTCAAAATTTCACTGACACTTAGGGTTTAGATATTTGAACAGACACAGTCAAGTCAAACTTGGTCCTTGGTGGGGCAGTGCGATGCAGTGCAAAGAGCCCTGGATTTTGAGTCAGAAGCATCAGATTCACGTCCTGGTTCCGCTACTTGTTTTCTCATCTTTCAAACTGAGGAAATGGCATTTGCATCACTACCTCACAGAGCTAATACAGGGATCAAATGAGCCTTCTTGGAAAGCTCTTGGAGAGTAAACGGAAGCTCTCTCAATGCTTACGGCCTGAGCCGTCCGAGCTCTGCTCTGATGCCTCATCATTGCAGGGGCTGTGGGGGAGGGGGGCCGATTGTGCCAGAGAAGTGAGCTGGCCAATACTGCCTAGTCATCGAGGCTTCTAGGACAGGCCTCTTGGATGAACCAAATAGCTGTACTCTGATGATGTTTGGAGGCTTATCACCAGAACAGCACTCACACATCGGTTGAGTTTTTCAGCCACAGCAGTTTCAAAAACCATTTACTAAGGGATGAATCTGCATCTGTGGAGGGTATACAGATAATGATAAAAACATAAATACTTAAGGTAGCGAGAGGCAGCGTCATAGTGGATCGAAGTCCAGAGGACCTGGATTCAAGTTCTGCCAAAATCTTCTTATGGGCATCTAATTTAACTTCTTGGAACCACAGTGTCCTCATCTGTACAGTGGGAATAATCGTGCCTTGTAGTACCTACAACTAGGATAATGTAAAGTGCAAATTCAGTCTCCAAAGTGCATATACATGCTAATTGTTACTAGGCTCCATCCCACTCTAATACGATGGTCCTGGGATCTTGTTATTATTTGGCATTATCCCAAAGAAGAATGAACAGCTAGAAAACTTTGCTAAGAGATGTTATTACTTGCAGTAATTTACCCCTTTATCCTCTAGAGAAGGGAAGATGTAAGGTCGTGTTCTCCCAAGTTCACATCCCTGCTGAACTGAATCCTTATATTTTTGTACGAACTCTGCTACTGCATTATAGAATCAGAGAGTGAGAAACTGGAGCCTATAGAATAATAACAATAACTTGCATGTATTTAGATCTCTCAGGTTTGCATTGTTTCATTTGCCCCTTAGAGCAGTCTCATAGAGGAGGTTTAGATGGCTTGTTATCTCCATTTTAAGTGGAGGAAGCTTAGCAGTACTTATTCTGTGGAAGGTACCATTTTCAGAGCTTGCTCGTGGCTAGTACCCAATCCAGAGCTTTCCTGATCCTCCAATTCTTTCCACTGTCCCAGACTGAGGACCAAATGTGTGTATCTGGTAGCTTAACCCCTTCTCCCGACTTTTCTCAGAAGTTTGAGTCATTCATCATGAGCTCCCTGGCCCCACTCTCCCACATTTTAGAATCTCCGAGGATGAGATAGCCCTTCCCCCTTCACTTCTGCTCTTGATTTTCTTCCATCTTGTCTCCTTCAAGAACTGGCCTTGTCAGTTTCTCTTTTCTCTCTTTTTCCTTCAATATCTTCACCCACATTAATTTCTTCCTCATTTTCTATGAACATGCTCCTGCTGTTCTTGAAAAATCTTTCCTTAACCTAGTGAATGGAACACCAGCCTTGCAGTCAGGGAGACATGAGTTTGAATTCTGCCTTAGATAGTTGCTGGCTTTGTGACCTGGGGCATGTCTCTGTTTCTTCATCAGTAAAATGGGAGCAATAACAATACCTACATCACAAGTTGTTAAAAATCAAATGAGATAAAATATGTAAAGCATTTTGTAAACCTTAAAACGTGTTTGCTCTTATCTCCTCAAGCTATCATCTTCTTTTTTCCCATTCACTGATAATTGGCCGTTCAGTCATTTTTCAGTCTTGTCCAACGCTTCGTGGCCCCATTTGGAGTTTTCTTGGCAAAGATGCTGGAGTAGTTTGCCATTTTCTTCTCCAGCTCATTTTACAGATGAAGAAACTGAGGCAAACCATGTTAAGTGACTTGCCCAGGGTCACATAGCTAGTAAGTATCTGAGGCTGGATTTGAACTCAAGAAGATGAGTCTTCCTGACTTCAGGCCCAGAGCTCTATCCACTGAGCTACCTGGCTACCCATTCACTGATAAATTCCTATTAAAAATGGCACACATTCCCTCCAGCCATTACCAGTTCCTTAGCTTCATTTCTTTCTAATCACCTATTCCTCCTTCAACCCCTTGCAGTCTGGTTTCTGACCCTCCCACTGTACTGAAATTACTTTCTCTAATGTTAACAGTGAACTCTTAGTTGACAAAAGTGATGACCTTTTTTCTTTCTTTACCTTCCTTGACCTTTCTGCAGCATTCAACACACCTTCCCCTCTCTATTGTTTCCTCCCTGAGATGCTGTGACCCTGCTTTCTTCTAATTCTCCACCTACCGATCTGACTCCTCCTCCTTGGGCTCCCAGGTGTGCTTCAGGGCTCCCTCCCAGGCACTCTTTTTCTCTGTATTAAGGCATCTTAACCTAGGGTCTGTCAGCCATGTTACTTAGTGGATGGATGAGTTCAAAATCTAGATATTCAGCCCAGGTGTCTCCCTTGAACTTGAGTCCCTCACCTCCAACTGTCTGCCAGACATTTCTATTTCTAGATCTCTTTGGCACCTCATAGTCATCATGTTCAAAACTGAATCCTTATCTTTTCCCTCACACTGGCCCATCCTCCCAGTGGTCCAGCCTGGAAACCCAAGAATCATCTTGGACGTTTTTTTTTTTTCCTACCACATCCTCATAGCCCAACAGTTGCTGAGTTAGGTTGATTTTACCTCTACAACGTCTCTTGAATTCGACCTCTTCTCTATGCTGCCTTCTTCTCACACTCACACTGAGGGTCTGAATGGCCCTCATCACCTCTGCCCAGACTATTGCACAAAAACCACCTACCTTGTTTCCTTGTCTCTCCTTTCTCCAGTTGTCTTTCACGCAGCTGCCGAAATAATCTTAGGATAGCAATAGCACCTACCTCTTGAGATTGTTGTGAGGATGGAAATGAGATATTTTTAAAGTACTTTGCAAACCTTAAAGTACTGTATAAATGCTAGCTATCATTATTGTTATCATTATTATTATTATTATTCCAGAGAGCCATTTTGTTTTCACTTGAAATTGTGAGTTCCCTAGCACAACAACAACAAAAAAATATACAAAAGAAAAAGCCAGACAACCTATCTGGGAGAATGCCAGACAAGCCCATTATATCACTTTCCTTGCCTGACTTACAACAATACCTTACTTAGAGACGTCCATGTGAGCTCATTCATACGTATTAGTACCCAAGTAAGAGTGGAAACCATTTCTCCCATTGGGACAGGAAGAATAGGACCATAATAGGAATTCAGTGTGATAAGCCTCCAGGATTTAATTGTAGACAGATTATGACTCTTTTCCTCTCCTATCAGGGTCAAGGAAATGATTCCTCCACGACCCGCCCTAGTCCGCCGAACAGGAGGAGCTCAGAAGGCAAGTACAAGAAATGAAATGAGACTACTACAGTTACCGTTTCACATGGGGGTAGAGTAGGGGTGGGGTTAGGGGTGCGGTGCTCCTGCGATCTGGAAAATCTTCATACATTTTTTTGTCTCTCTCTTCATGCCAAAGAAGAAGTCTGAATTTTTTCTTGTTCTCTTATGGGTTGTTTATAGTACCTTATTGTAAAATTTGGGTTGATATTATACAATAGTATACATATATTTTGTGCATTTCTGAGTTTCTAAACTGTGTCATCTGCTATCCTTCAAGTGTTATCTGTAGCTTCCACAAAACTCCCCCAAAATACCCATTTAATTTCTTACGCCAACCAGTGATATATCAGAACCCCAGTGGGGAAGGTCACAATGTGGAAGGAATAACTGTAGTGTTAGGCTGTTAAGCATATATGAATGTAATGCTCTTGACCTAACATTGGGAGAATAGATACTTTTGAATTGTTTATCCACAATTGGTATTTGTTATTGAGAGAAAATTGCCTTCTTATCTTTGGTCTCCTTTGAGAACAGTGATACCCAGTATGAGGGTGTAATCTGTGTCTGTAAAAGAGAATTTGTTTTCTGTGTTTTCAAATGCAGGACTTCATTAGCATTATTTGTAGCCAAGTGCAATCAACAAAGCTAACTGACACACAAAATTATATTCATCCAGTGACCTGGGTCTTTTGTATCATAAAATTATACGACTGTTTTTTTGTGGATTAAATATGTGGGATTGATGAGAGAAACTTGGTGACCATTGAGTGTATTGGGCATTTTGCACTCTAGGCATCCCAACTAGTACTGCCTTGTCGAGTGAAATTTCCCTCAGACATGAATATCGGTGTGGTAGCAAGACTTCCCCAGGGCCTTCCAGCTCACTAAAGGCTTCAGGAAAATGTGCTAACCGTGAATGGCGAATGACTGCGTATATGTGTGTTTTGGCTTAGAAGAGATAGTCTTTGTGCTGTGAGAAACTATGAATGCTGAAAATGGCACGAATGCTTTGGGCACACCCTATCTCTTATATGAGCTATGGATGCTTAAAATGGCACTAAGACTTGACACACCCTGTCTTGGGAGTCTTTTGGGGTTGGGGAAAAGCGAGGCTCACATCAACCTTTAGCTTAAACAAGATACTTAAGCTTACTTTGCATATAATAAAAGTAGAGTAACAAATTGGGTTTTTGTTTTTAAAAAAATTCACCATTAAGCTGCCATGAAAAATGGGTTGATATTGTAGCATATCAACACGTTATTACTGGTTATGGTGATAACAACAAAAACGTCCTATACCATGTACACTGTCCCCTGTTGTCCCATCCAAGAGTTGTCACCAATAGCAAAATCCCAGACCTTATGGAGTTCTTTGAGTGGTCAGGTATTTGTGTGGGATTACTCTACGATTCAAACTGTATCATTCTCTGAGTTACTGTTGTAGTTGTCATCAGATTGGGAAGAAAATTCATTGCATTTGCCGTGTTAGATTTTTCTTTGAAGCCATCTAATTAACTCAGTCCAAACTTTGACTTCAGAGCCAGGATTCTTGACCTCTCCAAAGTCTCCAGGCTGGATTCCATAATGATTATGTTATTAAATGGGAAGTTTGTGAGTACTTAGCAAGGGAAGCCATGATCACTAAAAGTCAGCATGGTTTGATCAAAAATAGGTTATGTCAGACTAACCTTATTTCCTTTTTTTTTCCCCCTTTTTTTTCGACAGAGTTACTAGCTTATATATCAAGGAATACCTTAGATATAGTATATCTATATTTCAGCAAGGCATTTGATAAAGTCTCTTAATTTTATCCTTGTGAACAAATTGGAGAGATATGAATTGGATGTTAGTATGGTTTGGGTAGATCTAGAAGTAATTGAACCACTGAGCCCAAAGAGTGGTGATTATTAAAGGAGTGTTTAAATGGAATGAGGTCTTTACTGGTGTGACATGGTGCCCTATTCTTGACCCTGTTTTGTTCAGCATTTTTGCCAGTGATGTGCCTGAAGTTATTGAGAACATGCTTTTCAATTTTGTGGATAGCCAGAAGCTAGGAGGGTTAAATTGGATGATAGACTAGGGATCCAAAAAGATCTCAATAAGCTAGAACCATTTCAGTTCAATTCAACCCAAATACTGGGTATAAAGCATTTGCTAGACATTAAGAATATAAAGACAAATAATAAACATTTTATTGGGAGTATATTTCATGTACGTAGATAAGCCAATACAAATAAACAAATTTGAAAAAGAAGACAGCATTAACATCTGAGGACAACTGGGCAGTCTTGACAGTGAAGGTAGTACTTGAGCATAGCCTTGAAGGAAGCTAAGGATTCTAGGAGGGGCAGTCATTTGGGAGAGATCATCGTATTAGAGGCATGGAGGGATGGATTGTGCAAATACGCTGGATTGGGAGATGGGAGTATCAAGTCTGAGAAACACTAGTAGTCTAGTTCAGCTGGAATGTAGAATGTACAAAAGGGTATGTATTGTGGAAAATGAATCTGGAAAGCTAGGTTAGAGCCAAATGGCAGTGGGCCTTAAGAGTAAGAATAGATATTTTGTTTTAGAGGCAGTAGTGGGCCATTGAAAGTTTTCAAACTGGGGACTGATATGGCTGTCATGAAACTTTATTTTGAAAACTTTATGGAGACTATATTAGAGAAAGATCAATCTAATAAGGTTAATTTAATTTAATTTTTTTAATTGAATTTTCTTTTCAATCAATGAAAATTTTCCAGCTCCCACCTCCCTCCCCCCAATCCCATTGAGAAATCAAGAAAAACGTTTTAAAACCTCTGTTACAAACATGTATAGTCAAGCAAAACAAATGGCCACATTGACCATGTCAAGAAAAAATCTCAATCTGCATTCTGAGTCCATCATATCTCTATCCAGAGGTGAGCAGCATATTTCATCATGAGTCCTCTGGATTTATGGTTGATCATTGCATTTATCAGAGTTCCTAAGTCGAAGGTTGTTAACTTTACAATATTGTTATCGTTGTATAAATTATTCTCCTGGTTCTGTTTTCTTTATTCTGTTTATACAAGTCTTTCCAGGTTTCTCTGCAGCCATCCACTTCATCATTTATTACATTACAATAGTATTCTATCATACTTATATTCATATAACAAATTGTTCAGTCATTCTGAATTAGTGGGTACCCCCTTAATTTACAATTTTTTGCCATTTCATGAAGAGATGCTATAAATATTTTTTTTAGTTATAAGGCCTTTTCCTCTTTCTTTGACCTTTTTGGGATATAGAACTAGTAATAGTATTGCTGGGTCAAAGGGTATATACAGTTTAATATTTTTGGGGGCATACTTCCAAATTGCTTTCCAGAATGGCTGGACCAGATCATAAGTATATATGCTCATACAAAACAAATTTTCACATTGGCCATGTCAACAAGAAAGAAAGGAAGGAAGGAAGAAAAGAGAAGAAAGAAGAAAATATGCTTTAGTCTATACTCTTGAGTCCATCAGCTCTCTATCTGGAGGCGGATAGCATGTTTCATCTGATGATCCTTTGGAACTCCTTTGGAAATCCTTTGGCATTGTGGTTGGTCATTGTGTGGATCAGTTACTAAGTCTTTCTAAGTTGATTATTTTTTCAATATTGCTATTATTGTATAAACTGTTTTCCCATTCCTGCTCACTTTATTTTGTACCAGTTCATGCAGTTCTCAAGTTTTTCTGAAACCATCTCCAGGATCATTTCTTTTTCTTTTCTTTTTTTTATTAATTTATTTTGATTTATCAACAATCACTTCCATAAGCTTTTGAGTTTTAAATTTTTCTCCCCTTCCCTCCTTCCCTCCCTCCCCGAGAGGGCACACAATCTAATATAGGCTGTACATATACATTCATATTAAACATATTTTCACATTAGTGATGTTGTAAGTAAGAATTAGAACTAATAGGAGGAACCACCAGAAAGAGGAAACAAAACACAACAGAAGAAAAAAAATAGCAAATAGTATGCTTTGATCTGCATTCAAACTCCATAGTTCTGTCTTTGGATGTGGATAGCATTTTCCATCATGAGGCTTTTGGAGATGTCTTAGATCCTTGTATTGGTGAGAGGGGTTAAGTCTATTAAAGTCAGTCATCACTTAATGTGGCTGTTACTGTGTAAAACGTTCTCTTGGTTCGGCTCACTTCACTCAGCATCAAACCATACAAGTCTTTCCAGGTTTATCTGAAGCCTGCCTGTTCATCATTTCTTATAGCACAATGGTATTCCATTACATTCATATATCACATTCACAATTATGGTGACTATCTATGTCTTTCTCTTCATCCCTTTCCCCCGTTTATGCTTTTTTTTCTCCTTTCTCCTTTTCCCACCTCACTAATGTTTTACTTTGACCACCTCCTCCCTCAGTCCCACCTCCTTTCTATTAGTCCCCTCCCTTTTCTTTCCCCTTTTCCCTCCTACTGCCTATAGGGCATGTTAGATTTCTATACCTAACTGACTATATTATTCTTAAGCCAAATCTGATGAGAGTAAGATTCAAACAATGCTCATCTCCCTCCCTTCTTTCCCTCTGCTATAATAGGTTTTTGTGCCTTTTCCTGTGATGTAATTTACCCTTGTCTGCCTCCTCCTTTCCTTTTCTCTCAGTACATTTTCTTAGATCAGATTAATTCACTTACTTGGATCCATTTAACCCACTTGATTAGATTTTTTTTCATCATTACAGCAAAGTCAATTTATACCCACTCCCTTTATATACCCCTTTAACATGGTGTAATAACAATACAGTTCTTAAGACCTGCAAGTGTCTTCCCTCATAGAAATGTAGAGAGTTTGTCCTTATTAATAACATAGTGTTACTTTCTGTCTCATTTACCTTTTTATGTCTCTCTTGAGTCTTGTATTTGAAGATCAAATTTTCTGTTGAGCTCTGGTCTTTTTATCAGGAAAGTATGGAAGTCCCCTATTTTGTTGAATATCCATCTCCTCCCCTGCAAGATCATGCTCATTTTCGCTAGGTAGTTGATCCTTGGTTGTAATCCAAGTTCCTTTGCCTTATGGAATATCATATTCCACGCCCTATGGTCTTTTAATGTAGAAGCTGCAAGGTCCTATGTAATCCTGACTGTGGTTCCATGATATTTAAATTGTTTCTTTCTGGCTGCTTGCAGTATTTTCTCTTTGACCTGGTAATTTTGGAATTTGGCTACTATATTCCTTGGAGTTTTCAATTTGGGATCTCTTTCAAGAGATGATCGGTGGTTTCTTTCTATAGCTATTTTACCCTCTGGTTCTAGGACCTCGGGGCAGTTTTCCTTTATGATTTCCTGAAAGATACTGTCCAGGCTCTTTTTTTCATCGTGATTTTCAGGTAGATCAATAATTTTTAAATTGTCTCTCCTGGGTTGATTTTCCAGGTCAGTTGTTTTACCAGTGAGATATTTTACATTTTCATCTATTTTTTCATTCTTTTGCTTTTGTTTGACTGATTCTTGCTCTCTCATAGAGTCATTAGCTTCCTTGCTCAATTCTAATTTTTAACAAATTGATTTCTTCTATCAGATTTTGTACCTCCTTCCTCATTTGGCCAGTTGTATTTTTTAGGGGCTTGTTTTCTTCAGTGTGCTTTTTTTCCAGTTGGCCAATTGTATTTTTTAAGGACTTGTTTTCTACAGTTAATTTTTGTCCTTCCTTTTCCAAGCTATTGACTCTCTCTTGCATACCTCTCATTTCTTTTCCCATTTTTTCTTCTACCTCTCTCATTTGACTTTTAAAATCCTTCTTGAGCTCTTCTAAGACTTCAGACCAGTTCATATTCCCTTTTGAGGTTCTAGATGTGGGTTTGTTGACAATGTTGTCCTCTTCAGAATTTCTGCCTCAATCTTCACTCTTCCCGTAATAAGAATCTGTCATATGTTTCTTTTTGCTCATGGTGTTTGCTTATTTCCTGGCCTTTAAAGAGATTGGGCTCTCCTGCTGGGGAGCAGAGGGCACTGACCCAAGCTTCTTGTATTGGGAGCCTAGGGCCTAGTCGATGGCTTTGTGTGCTGGGGCCTCAAGTGTTGGCAGTTGGAGGCTGTAGGATTCTGGCAGCTTACCTGGTGTTGGGCTGTAAACAGCAATACTAGAACTCTAGGGGTAGGATTGGGTAGTGTGGCACCTGGAGATTTCCTGCTCACCCAGGCCTTTCCTTCCTTTTGCTTTCTTCAGCTCTTTTCAGATGGATGTTCTAGGGTGTTTATCTGCCTGGGGCCCCTTGGAGCACTGCTTCCCTTAGTTTTGTGAGGCACTGGGAGAGCCGGTTGCTGTAGAATGCGGAGGCACCTGGTGGTTTTCTGAGCTGGTTTCCACAGGTTCCCCAGTCCTCAATGAGGCACTTGGAGTCCAGGTGTTGGTGTTTGCCTGCTCCACCACCTGAACTTCAGGATCTTCTCCTGGTATGCTGAGGTGGGGCTTTCCACTAGTTTGCCAGGATGCCTCCCATTCTGTACTGCTCCCCTTCCCCCAGGGTAAGAGGGGCATTTCCAGTTAATCCCTTAAGCTACCTGGGCTACTGGATTGCTGCACCCCATCTTCTGGTTCAGCTGTTCCAGGGTTTTTCCTGGGGTGATATTTTCTGGGCTTTCAGGGGTTAATAAGGAAGAGTAAGAGAAACTCACCTCTTACTCCCCCATCTTGGCTCCCGGAAGTGGAAGTCTCCAGGATCATTTTTTGCAGTACAAAAATATTCCATCACAATCATATACCATTACTTGTTCAGTCATTCCCCAATTGAAGGGCATCTCCTCAGTTTCTAATTCTTTGTTACTATAAAAAGAGCTGCTATAGATACTTTTGTATGTATGGGTCCTTTTCCTGTTTCTTTCATCTCTTTGGGGTATAGACCTAGAAGTATTATTGCTGGGTCAAAGGGTATGCACAGTTAAGGATAGCCTTTTGGGCATGGTTCCAAATTGCTTTACAGAATATTTGGACTGGTTCATAACTCCTTTAATAGTGTATCAGTGTAGCTGTTCTGTGCAGCCCCTCCAGCATTTGTCATTTTTTAATTTTAATTTTTTTTAGCATTTGTCATTTTTTGTCGACTTTGCCAGTTGGATGAGTGTGAGGTGGTTCTGCAGAGTTGTTTTAATTTGTATTTCTCTAATTATTTGTGATTTAGAGCACTTTTAAATATGGCTATTGATAACTTGGATTTCTTCCTCTGAAAATTTCTAATTCATATCCTTTGACCATTTATTAATTGGGGAATGGCTCTTATTCTTGTATATTTGACTCAGGATCGTATGTATTTTAGAAAGCGGGCCTTCATCAGGGAGATCTGCTGCCAACAGTTTTCCAAGGTGAAATTTAATAGGAGCAAATATGAAGCCCTAGATTTGGGCTTAGAAACTCAATTTTCCTATGTACAGGAAAAGAGAGATATGGTTCTACTATCGTTTGTATGAAAATGACCCGAGGATTTTAGTCAGCAAGAAGGCATTTGATGGCAATACCAATAAATATGTGATAGCACAAGAAAGAAAGATAGAAAGGAAGGAAGGGAGAAAGGAAGGAAAGAAGAAAGAAAGAATCTCTTTGGTCATATCAATACATATTGTTCAAAATGAGAGATGATAATTTTGCTGGAGTATTCTGATTAATTTGCTATACTTTTGTAAAGATTTGATTGACAGAATGGAATTCACTCAAACTGCTTAATATAAAGAAAACATTTCCCCTAAAAATTAAAACTGTCTAAAAAGTTAAATGTGCTGATTTTAGAGCTATTTTTAAGTGGATGCCTGCCGAGGTAGTTGAAAAGGGTATGTTTGAGTTGGATTAGAAGACCTCTGTGGTCCCTTCTGTCTCTGAGATGCTATGGTTCTATGATTCTGCTTTCTTATTTTACTAGGCAGTGGATGACTACCACGCTCAGATCCAGAACATTGCCACAGCCATCTTAGAAGAGTACCACAAGATGTTCGGTAAAGAGCTCACTTCAGGAAAAGATCTGGATAACCAAACCTTGGAGAATCACAAGTGCCAGCTCAATTATGAGCTCAATTGCTCTGGAAAATATTTTGCTTTCAAAGAACAACTTAAGGTGAAACATTCATTCAAAAAAAAAAAAAAGTCTTTTGAGGGCTTACTGAAAGCCCTGAGTAAAAAATCTCAAAAAAAGTCTATTGAGTGCCTCCTAGAACAGTGTTTTCTCTGTTCTAATTGACATACCACCCTCTTTACCTTCTCTTTCTACAAAGACCTTCTTACTCCCAGGAGAACTGGATGCATGGATGCAAATCTTAAAATTGAGTAGTATTCATTCTTATTTTGAATAACTAAAAATTAATGCTTCACTTTTGCTCTCAGGACAGAGCATCTACTGGTCCATCTATAAGTCAGGAAACTTGATCTTGGATTGGACAGCAGGAAGCCTTCCATTTTTACTGATTTCATTGCCTAATTTGCTGTGACCCATGCTGAGTAGCTTCTTCCCATTTCCCATGTAAATTTTACCATTGCAAACTAAGGATAGTTCTCCCAATCTGAGGGAGTTGTCATTGAAAATCTCATGGAAACTGAGAGGTGGCAATCAGAGAACAGAGAGAGAGCTCTTCTCCATCGATGGTCTCAGCCAGCCTTGGGCATGATTATGAGGACAGCTGCCTAGGTTTGAATATCACCCTTTGACTTTTCCAAACAGTTTTATATAATTTGATTACACCAACCTCAAGAAGTTGGTAAGCTAAGTATCACGATTCCCATTGAGAGGTGGGAACAGTTCAGGAAGAGAGAAAATATCAGCTAGTTAGTGGCAGAGCTGGGGCTAGAATCCACTCTCCCACCTACCAGATCAAACTCTTCCTACTGGACAACTTGGGCC